AAGAAGGGGATGTCGTGGAGATCCTCAAGAAGACTGGTTTTGGGAAAGGCTGGTGGCTGGGCAGAACGCGTCATGGAGAAGGTGTGTGTGTGTGTGTGTGTGTGTGTGTGTGTGTGTGTGTGTGTGTGTGTGTGTGTGTGTGTCGGTGGCTCCTGGGCTTCGTTAATTTGGTGTTTGGGACATGATACCCGCCCCACTTAGCCCAAGTCTCACGCAATGCCGTTCATCCCGCTCGCGTGTGTCATCTTTGAACGTTGCAAAGGTCTTGTGCCCTCAAACTATCTGGAACCAATGGACAGCCACTGTTAGATTTCGTGTTGAACACCTGCTTTCTCTTTACTGGGCCCGCGCATGTGTTACCCTGTTCACCTCTTCCATTGTCGTTATTCTGCCCCAAGAACCGAAGAACCGCGGGAGAGACAGATAAACTGATCATGCAACAAGAAAGACACACACACACACACACACACAGGCAGGGACAGAGACCCTGTGTGTGCTGTGCTGTGCTGTTTGTGTATGTGTGTGCGTGCGTGCGGTGCTGTCTCTGCGTGGTAAATAGCAACACCAGGGCCTCACTCAGGTCGACGTCAACCCCCTCCCCCCCCCCAATACACACAATGACGTGCGTACCTCTCTCTCTGTTGCGTTGATGTTCTGAAATGTGATGATGCTGATGATGAGCATGTGGATGATGCCATGCATGTAGGAATGGCATGGGCGGATGTAGGTGAGATGTGAGTAAGGACGTGTGTTGTGGAACACGTTTAAGAAAATGGTTGGTGCCTGTGGTGCGCAGCCTGTTGTGGAAGGCTGGCCCGAGTGAAGGCGTGTCCTGTGGTGCGCGGCCGCTCAGAGGTCCTGACGCGGAGTCGAAGGACGTGGCGACCGGCCCGAATGAGGACGGGCCCGTGGCTGGCAGCCTGGCAGAGGACGCTGGTCGAACAGCATCGTGCAGAACTGAGTCGTCTTGGGCCGAGGGAGGATCTTCGTGAGGAAATCTGCGATCATGTGCTCCGTGGCGAGGTAGCTCAGCACAATCCTCTTGGTGTCGACGCACTCGCGGATGTAGTGGTACTTGACGAGAATGTGCCGCATGCGCGAGGCGGCGTATTCGGCAACGCGCTGCGCCGGCTGGTTGTCCGTGTGGACGAGCGTGGGCTCGCACAGGACGGCGCTGTGCGGTGGCTGCGAGAGCCATGTACTCCGCGTCGGCGGAGGCTGTGGCCACGGTGGCCTGCAGCTTGGAGTTCCAGGACACGGGGCCCGTGGAACAGAAGACGACGAAGCCCGTGCGGGAACGTCGCGTGTCAACGTCGGAGGCGAAGGACGCATCCGAGTACGCTGAGAGTACGCCGTCGGCAGTGCTGCCGCTGCTGGTGTCGCCAGTGGCGGCGTACTTGATGGTGTAGGACAAGGTGCCCTTGAT